CAGGACCTCGGAGAGGGGAGAGGGGCGGAGCCCAGGAGCCCGGCGCGAGATGTTAACTCTTGGGAGCGCTTAGGAGAGAAGCTTTCCAAAAGTCTCGGTGACCCTGTGATCCCTTGCGGGAGTGTAAGGACTGGGTTGGGCAGGGAGGCAGGACTGTGTGCACCGGGAACCTGGTTGCTTAAAAAGGTTCTAGGATGAAATCTCCATCTGCCTAGGGGAAAGCCTAAGGCTACAAATGGAAAAATAAACAATGCAAACCCTACAGATGGCCCTCTATCACCCGACCTTCAAATGTGCTTACAGTAACTAGGTATCTCACAGTTTTGGTGTCCTTCAAAATGAACACAGGGGAGGAACACGAACAAAGGAAACATTTTTGTCCCTCATTGAAATGCCTACTCCCTCCTCCAAAGCTTTGCCCTTCCCCAGTAGGCCACGCACTCGCAGACTAGAGTAATTCATTTCTATGTTTATGAAGATAGCGACTCTAGGGCAGTGTGCCTTATATACTAGTTATTGTAAAACAAACAAAACTCCACATTTTATAGTTGTTTGGGGCCTAAGGAATATTGTCATTTGTTCAGTAAGTATTTGACAAGGGGGGGAGGTAAATATTAAACTGCTAATGAGGGATTGTTAGGTGCTGAGGGCTTAAAACCTTTCAAAAGCTCAGTCTACTTCAGAGGCAAGTTGTTATACAATGAGCATGCAAAAAATAAACAGCCCTAATAAATACTAGAAATAATCCCATTTAAGCCTTCAGTGTAATCCTTTCCATGAGCACCAACCCAAGCCACAAGCCATAGGGGGCTAACAATATTCCCAGATACCTGATAAACCACACTGGACTACCTCCGGGATTGTGTTCCTTGGGAAATGACCACCACACTGGGGGATGGGAGGGGGTGTTCCTTGCCGCCTGATGATGGTCCCCTCAAGCTAAATTGAGGCTAAGTATTTGGCCCTAAATCCCATCTGCTGCCTCCCACATCTAAGTCTTAATCAGGCCCTGATGCTTTTTATCTGATTTGGAGGTGGAACCCTGGACCTTGTACATGCTGGGCCAGGGCTGTGCCACTGAACCACTGGCACAGCCACCTAAGCTCACCACTGATCCTCTTTTGGTTTCTTATTAAGTTTGATATCCCTTTTTGTCCCAAGACTTTTTTGTGACTCCAGGCCCCAGGTAAATAGGTATAGAAAAGTAAGATAAATCAAGCATTTACTGACAATAAACCATAAAGAAATTTCCTTTTTTATCCCCTCAAGGCGGGGTTTCCCTGTGTGACAACCCTGGCCATCCTGGAACAGTATCTGTAGACCAGGCTGGCCTTGAACTCGAAGAGATCCACCTGCCTCTGCCTCTTGAGTGATGTATTAAAGGTGTGGACCACCACTTCCCAAGCGGGCTCAGTCAATAAAGGTACCTGCTAACTTGAACCTACCCTCCACATGGTAAAAGGAGAGGACTAACTTTCAAAAGCTGTCCTCTAACCTCCACACATGCCAGGGCATGCAAGATAAATAAATATACATGTAATAAATGTTTAAATGAAAATAATGAAAGTTACATTAAGACTGGGGTAGGAGGCTTAGCTCAGTGACAAGAGCATATGCCTGGAACCCTGGATTCAGTCCCAGTGTCAATGTGAGGTTGCATGTCCCAGTGTCATACAGGGTTGACAGAGAACCCAGGCACCTTAATCTCATCCTCTTTGCAAGCTCTGTTGGTAAGAACCCAGGCTGCTGCTTCAGCTTTTGGTAGAGCACCTGCCTCAATGCCTAAAGTCCTGGGTATACTCCCCAGGGCTGGTTTTGGTTTTTTTTTTGTTTTGTTTTGTTTTGTTTTTTTGTTTTTTGTTTTAAATCTGTGCTATACACTATCCCAGTGGTTGGCACATAGTAGATTCCTTAAATATGTGCTTAATAAATTAATGTTGCCCATTGGGACCTTTCAAAGACATAATGTTGGAGGCTGGAAGGAAGGCTCTGCGGATAACAGCACTTAATATTCTTTCAGGGAACCAGAGTCCAGTCCTAGCATTCCCAACCACCTGTAACATCAGCTGTAGGGGACTCAGCACCCTCTTCTTACCTCCATGGGCACCTACCTGCACAGGTGTGGACAAACACATACACATAAATTTAAAACATAGTATGAATAATACCATCAGCGCCACCAAGCTTCACCCACTCTCACCTATTACATCCCTACAATCTAAA